GGAGAGACAATCGAGACAATCTTTCTGTCTAAATACATAACTTCTTGTGCCCACCATCTCCTTCTACTTGTTTGGTTTTTTTTAACAGTAATAATATCTGCATGCCAAGATGCTAAGTCTTAGTTTTGTTAGCAATTCCCCTTTACGATCTATATGTACTAACAGACATTGATTAGCCCTTACTTAGCAACAAATTCCTAGATTCTTGAGTTTTACTTGTAAATAATTTCTACAGATTTGAACTATCTGATGGTGACATTTTTGCCCAACACCAAATGTTTTGCAGTCTAAATAGCTAGTAGTTCTGCTCTCACTTCCATAGATCTTGCCTTCATGAAACCCGTGATGTCACATCATAGTCCTTTCGTTCACCAGCAGCCACTACGGTCTTTCATAATACAACAGGTTGGATTAGACCCACATTTTACACAAAGATCAAGAAGAAAAAGAAACAAAACTAATAAAGTACATTCAACCCCCTTTTTCTTTCTTACAGTATCTTTAAAGTCAACCAAAGATAACAAAGAAAAATAATTGCTAAAACCATTAAGGCCCCTTTAAAGGTTCCCTTTAAGTGAATGCTTCTGTAGCCAAAGCACTGCAGTAAGTCTTACTATGCTTCCATTTTTGCTTACACTTTAGGTTTCAAATTCCAACCATGAGTTAGAAAGGGCAACCCCAGCTCATTCCCTGCAGTTTTAAATTGCTTGCCCAGGAGCACGCGGTTTTCTTACCTTCCCAGGATCATCTCTTGGTCGAGGCACCTTCCGAAAACATTTATTCAGAGAGAGGTTATGACGAATAGAGTTCTGGTGAGAGAGTAAGAGATACAGGTAAGCGCTGCAACAAAAACATACAGCCTTCTGAGTATGCCCGCAAGCACGTAGAGAAAATAGAAGGATGGTGCGTACTCAAAAGCTGAAGCTCATTCCATATACCCAGAACAGAGTAGAACAGAAGCTGTGGAAAGGAGAGGGATGGATTAGGATGAATAATATGGGGCTGAACCACCTATACATCTACAGAAGATGCAATGAAAATAGTAACACTGTGATGCAGAGGTTAGTAGTGATGTGGGTTTTGTGGGGTTTTTGGTTTGTTTTTATTGGTTGTTGGTGGTTTTTTCGCACGTTCCTTCTTAAGGGACCACCACACACATACAACAAAATTCTCAGAGAAAACGGGACTTCTGGCTCTGCATTTTCTCCAGTTGGTCAACTTAGTTTCACATCTATCTTTTTATTTCGCTCAGTAACAATATTTGCAGAGCATCAAGCAAGTAAGTCTTGTAATTAGACAAAAAGGGTACTTTAGTGATGCAAGTGCTCACCTTCCAACCAATACCAGCATTTTTGTGGGAAAGTTGTCACAGATCCAACGGTAGATCTCACTAAGCGTCATCTTCTTGGCAGGTGATGAGTTGATGGCATACGTGATCAAAGTGGCATAGCTGTAACGTGGCTTTCCATCTTGGTGCACTGCAGCCTCATCCTTACTCAGGGTGGCATTGGGATCTGTCGGTGAACCTGGGGGACACTTTCGGGCAGTCCCTGGAGGTCCTGCTTGTGAGGAACCCCCTAATTTTTCAATAGTAGCCCTTAAAGTAAGCTGTGGGAGCCAGTCTATGGAAGTGAGGCTGCTTTCCAGGTCAGAGGCCATGATGCTGGAAGCAGGAGTATCTGTGAGGAGAAAGGACCAGAAAGGGAACTCTTGAGATATAAACAAGGTGAACCCTAAGAACAGAAAAATCCATTTGCGTTCCTCCTCTGCTTCTCCCCCTATCACAAATACCTGTGTGAAGATCATCATAGTTCATCTATCTTATTCACAGCCAGACAGAATAATCCAAAAAGGCCTATGACTGTGTCTCTGGGACAGTGCTGATGGTAACAGTCTCACCCAGAGCATCCCAACTGTTCTCAGGTAAAGAAGTAAGATCTGTTCAAAGGAAGTGGAGCCTTTTCAGCATCTGTATCGTATTCAGTCCTTTACTACAGAGGCAAGATAACCTTGGGGCCCTTCACCAAGATTACCTGTAATCCAGTAGGTTTACTGTGTCAGGTAAGAGGAAAATCATAGCTAAAAGAGAATATACGAACCACAATTTAATTACATCATCTGGAAAAGTCAGGACTGTCTTAATTTCGGGGAAAATTAATTTCTCTCTAAGGCCTAGCCTCTCTTTTTGCATCAGGTGACATTACAATGAATCCTATTCCTTAGAGCTAGGATTGAATATCTCATTTTAAAACACAAAGATCATGCATAATACTATATATAGATAATTGCATCTACCATGTTGAGGTGGAACAGACTATATTAGGCTCATAATAGTTAAAGCTTTGCCTACCATAACCCATTTTTCCTAAATATAAATACCATTTTATTGAATTAAATTTTGCTTAATTCATAACATAACAGGCAAGTATTTTTCCCCAAATCTGAGACGCAAGAAAAACTTACTCATCCAAAGTCACACAACAGGTTTGCCACAGGGTGGAAACAGAATAAGGACCTTTCCTCTCATAAATATTATGTATTTTCCCTCATAAAAATACAACACACCTTTCCAACATGGGTAGCACTTATACCTAGGGTTTTCTACTTAATTATTTAATATGAAGAAAATATTTAGCAGCATGAACTTGTATGAACTTGTACACTTAGCACACAAACTTGTATGCCGTTTTTTGTAGTAGTCAAGGCAGCAGAAAGACCATCATTCTTACTCATAATTGGCTGCATCACTATTCTAGGCGCAATCCCTTGAAGTCTGGACTGAGGTAGCTAAGTTTCCATGGCCACAACCTGCACTGCTCTGCACTTAGTCTTTGCATAAAGAGAAGAATCATGTCTCAAAGGGCTGCAAGTTCTGCATCTTTCATTTTTAAAATTAATCTTTTCAGAGGATTAGATTATACTATATTCGAGCATGCTAACACATACAAAAGCTGAACACACAAATACACGTGCACGCGCACACTTATGTGCACACTCATGTAACAAATTAAACACATGCACACATGTAAGAGAGAACAGACTGACATGAACACACTCTGCTTAGGAGAGATTCATCAGCAGACACCTCCCACCAAGTGCATCACTCAGATGAGTGGATCAGATGAGACAGGGAGACACCCATCTGCATGAATACCAATTAGATACTCATTCTAAAAATAGGTATTTGACAATAACAGAGTGTGGATGCACAGATCCTGAGACAGATGCACCCAGCATTTTGACACAGAACCTCCCCATTCTTCCCCCACAACCATATGCATTATAACTTGCAATTCTGCACTGCAGTGCTCTCATAGCACAAAAGCACTTAAGAGTCTAAACTCCAACACCTTTGCATGCACTAAACCTTTCAATTTCATGCATGTGCTCATCACACCTTTTTGGGCTCAAACACCTACACAATACCCAAACAAAATCCATCCCTCAACCACCACAAGCAGTGGCTCCAAAGCCCTGGGCTCAGAAGACACCTCCTAATTGCACAGCTAACATTATCAGTCATACTCATATGCAGGCACAGACTGAAAAGTAAAATTGCAGCCCTACAGTATCTGTATCAAGTTGAACCTTTTTTCTGTTTGTGGAGGAAAGGAAAAGCCCAGCTGCTACTAACTTATCTATCTACTCATCTGCCACACTATCACATATGATAGCGATGACTACTTGCTACACAGCTAACTAGATGATCAGAGCCGCAAAAGCCTTTCCATTATCCACACTCCTCAAGTTGTTATTTATTGAATATAGCTCTTTTTTGGCTGAATTGATCTAATCTCAAACATTTTAAATTTAAAGAAAAAAAAAAAAAGTCAGCACTATACCTTCCTGAATTATACAAGGGAAAAGCAACAATGTATTTTTATCCAGTGGGGGACGGACAGACATCTGAGGTATCCATGTAACTGAAATACAGCTATATTTGCATGGTAACTTTACAGGTACAGCCCTCACTAAAAGCAGTATTCAACTTCGGAGAACACAAACATGAACTAATTATCAGTTAAATGCTTAATTTTGTAAGTGTGCCTCATAAATTTTAATTTCCACAGTGCAACCAGAGAACACATTACTGCTGCTTATTATATGCATGTTAAACCATTGTGAAATATCAGTTGTGCTAACAATACAAATCCAAAGTAAAATTAAAAAAAAAAAGGGGGGGGGAAGGGCGCGCCTGGGAAATTTGTATTTAAGACAAGCACAGACATCAAGAAAATGAGGTTATAAAAGCCTATGGCAGATTAAGATACCAATCTGAAACACCAGAAATTCAAGAAGCAGAAGAAAACATTGCAGTTTTTCACAGAACTTCAGATTTGCTCAGGTTATACCAGTAAAGCATTTGGGATGATTAGTTAAGCAGTAAAACATAAGGTTGATATGCAACACACCCATCATCAAATACACAAGCTTTTGTGTATTAGTGTAAAATACACTTGTCAGGGAGACAAGCAAGGTTAGAATTGGGTCACATCACATCCACACTAAGAATCTGAACATTTTCATTCCCTGGTTTATAAAAATCTTTGACAAGAAAACAAAATCCCAAAATCTTAAATAAAAAAATTCTGTATGTACAAATGAACTAATTGCCCAGTACTGAAACAATTACTTTTCAGTAAAATACAGCAGCTTTTTAAGAATATATACACTAGACAGTAATACAGGACAGAAAGTGCAGACTCAGACCCAATAGCAATCACATGGGAGATTTCAAACCAGCAGAATAAGATTTTTTTTTTTTTCCAACTTTGAACTTAATCATGCTACTGGATTTACAAGGCTGTATCCTGGCAATATGGGATCTATAATAATCAGGCATAGTAAAACCTTAGGTAAGGTGGCAATTCCAGAACACTGTCAGTGCAAAAATAATTTGGCGTAATTGGCTACTAAATTTTTTGAAAGAGTACTTACTATAAGAGTAATACTTGCTACAATTTGTGCTGCATATCTCATTCACCTGATCCAAGCAGTACACCAGCTTGACACTACTTAATGATACAATAAAACAAGACTACAGCCAAACCAGAGCAGCTGATGATTCTTCCAACTTTCCCTTCCCAGTTTATTGCCTGGCAAACCTTCTTTGAAACTCTTCTCTTATTATCCCCCTCAAACAAAGAAAAAAAAATATACTAATGACTAACAAACACACTGAACTGAAACCAAGGGTGTTTAGAAAAAATCCTACCACGTTAGCAAGCCAGAATTAACTTTGAAGAAGTAAAAGGAAGTCGAAGCCCAGAATTCACAATCTTCCACTTTACATGGTAAATGGTATCTGTTTATGTTTTTGGCTGACTTTAGAAACTTTAGTAGCCAAGTCATAACCACGATCAACAGATGGAAATTGACTGCAGAGTCTTCATTTCTCAAGCACTAACTAGTTCCACTACAACCCCAAATCAAGACAGGTCAGAGAGATGCAAAAATGACAGTCAAGCATTGATCCAAAACTACAATTAAACAGGTGAGAATTTGTCTGAATCATAAGAAAAAATTATCAATCATTAAATAAAATCCTAGCATTGAATACCTTTTATAACCATTAATTCACTTGGGACTAGTAATACTTCACTACAGCTTTCCAGGAAAGCTACTGCCTTCCTTTGAATATTTGCAACTAGCAAATCAAACCTCAAGCTGAAATTGCAAGCCAGCCTTCTGTCTATCAGACAGTACCATCCCTGACGCTGGACTAAGAAATGTGTACTTTGCCCGCCCTGCTATTTTGCAAATGCTCACTCTAAGCCAGTCAGATCTTATCCAAGATTACCACTACTATGTATCAGGACTGAAAAATGTATGAAATGTGGGGAACAGCACTCTAAGGGTCATATTGAATTCAGTTAATAAACATTTATAGCCTGAAACATTCTCTTAGGCTGAACTCAAAAGCTGGCTAGTCAGAATCAGTTACAACTGAAGCAGAGTCATACAATGAATGAAACAATGCTGTGCACAGCCTAGAGAAGATGCACATTCTAGAATATGTCTCTACATTTACTTTTCTATATTTATTTTCACTGTTGCTTTATTTGCTGCTATTTCAATTCAATTAAACACTACTGGCAAAACATTCAAAGGACACTCAGCTTCACCTTCTCAACATAAGCTTTGAGAAGGAAGAAATGCATAACAGACTACCAAGCAGTGAAAGACATTGCTGTAGAACACCTATAAAAATAAGGCCACTTCTAATTAGTTACCTGAAGGACAGATCCTGTGATCTAACTAACAATATCCATCTAATATACTCAGAGAAACACCTAGCTTCTAAGGTATTAAACAAACAAAAGAACTCGAACTCAACAAACTGGTAAAAAAGAATCACCTGACTGCAATCTTTCTGAAACAGAAAGGTGAGCGTGATGCCAGAGGAAACTGCCTTAAAAAGTAAGGAAGCAAAGTAACACCTAAGAACACCACATACATGGAGAAACAGACAGCTTCTACTTTGATGGAAAAAGGCAATTTTGACATACTCATGTAAATTACACATGCAAGAAACCTGTATTCTTATGCCATTACAGAAAGGGGAAAAGAATCAATCAACTCCAGCAGGAAGAGAAATTTGCCATTTTAAGATATGCCTTCCCTCAAAAACAAGCAGGTGTGAACTAAGAGGGCAGGAA